TATTATACTTGACATAGATAGCTATAATATTGCATACGCAATGCGACGGTGGCTTCCTATTAATGATAAGAGATGCACCGAGTTTGCGTCAGTCAAAAATGAATTGATTTGCGTTAGAATGGACCTTATAGTTTTGCAATACGATCATCGACAGTTACTCTTACTTCACTACATAGTATAAAACAAAGACGTCCCGCTGTCTGTCTATCCCAATGTATGCTTAGATTTTTAAAACTACGCAACGGATTTTGATGCGTTTTTTACTAGATAGTGGGTATACTTATAATACATTGCAGCCGCGCGAAGCCGGGGCGGGCACTAGTTTACAATAAAATTGGGAGTGTGTGTCATAGGACGTCACTTATAGAGTATACCGGGCGATACTGAAAGATTTTATATTGGGCCGGTTAGAAAAATTGCCAAGGAAAACTTTTAAATTTTACCATAACTAGAATTATAATTAATTTAACATTATTTTAACATAACTAGAACTCCTTGGTAACCAAAACAAAATTAAGTGTCACGTTAAGTTTTACTATACGCCTGACATAAATTAATCAGCATATTTTTTTGCTATTAAATTGGCATGTAAATATGAGTTTTTGGAAGTTATACCAAAACACATTCTATCTAAATAGCTTTTAGAGATCGACAGGGCATGCCACGATACAAAAGTAGTCATAGATAGAGCCTATATTGACACAACTCGACGTCAAAATACCAAGCAAGTTTAAAATGACCAATTCATCAATATAGTTATTATGACAAATATCATCTATGATCAAAATATATTATGTATAAAATATTAAATATAAATATTATAATTTAACATACACAAAGATGTTATAACGTGTATGTTAACACATTATCTTATAACATCTTGTGTATTCAGATATAAAAGTTTTACTGTTTGGTACTTTAACATACAACAGTGGCTATTTAACTTTTGCAACGAAAAGTTCAATTACGTATGATTCCATTTATGTCGGCATCCCTCGCAAAAAGTTCGTTTTAAACGAAATCAAATCTTTTTCAAATCCAATCTAGCACTGTCAAGATCATGATACTTCATTTAAATATGATAATAAATAATTATCTTTTTACCATACTCTGCTACATATTATTGTAATTAGTAATTAGCTATTGTGCTCACTCACTTTTCTTTATTAAGAGATATTTATAGTTGAACCGAATAGATTAAAGCGGTATTATTTTAAGTTTTTTTACTATTTCTGAAAAGTAAAGGACTTAAATGTATCATTATCAGTGAGGTAATTTTGAACTCAAAAAGTATTTTAAGATATTAAATTTTACACTACATACATATATGGGTACCATTATTAATTTAATCTCATTATCATATTTATTATAGTATAATTGTATTAACTGTGTTATGTATCAATACGTACGTATTTGTTACAATTCTTTTAGTGTCACGCTATAGGCTGCCCGACATAATTCCATGAAGACATTTATGTAAAAGTTTAATAAAATACAAATTATATTGTTATTTATACATACATACAATCACATTAAAACTAAGAAGATGTCCAGCCCGCCCAAGCCAACTTTGTGTTCGAAGGCAATAGGGTTTAATGAAGTATTCTCCGACAATAATTTTGCCTTATTTTTAGTACTGTTATACAGAAATGCAGTTATCAAACGTGCTAGGTGAGCTCGTTCGCTTTATTGTTACTTAAATCATTAAACGCTTTCGGCGTCAGGGGCACGAGAATGTTCGAGAATACCAAAACACATCCGCCGAATCGGATCTCACCGTCCCGTAAGGGAATGACGTAGCTTATTGCACTCCGCTTAGTGTACTCTCGTATTCTGAAAATCTGCACTCCCCGACGGGACATAACGTTACGTTTAATGATTAAGTTTATATCATTTATTAATATGGTTAACGATATTGCATAAAGTATCAGCGCAGTGCTTGTTGCCTATCGCTTAATCCTAAATTTAATTGTTTGTTTGATTTCTTTATTGTACACACAATAAAAATAGTTGGAACAAATGACAAAAAACATTTACAAAGGCGGGCTTAACCCTAAATAGAGTTCTCTCCCAAACACTTGAAAACAGGAAACTATAATAATATTTGGTGAGTACTTTTATTATTGGTATATTCCTATTTCTTCCATAGTTACTTTCCATTGTTCCTATTTTCTAAATAAGATAATCACCGATCGTCAAATTTTTTAGTATTCCTTTGAAAGTAAGAGTCTCGTTGTTTTTCGTAGTAAATGTGCTTCAAACTCTGTATAGTTATGTAAAATATGATACTTATGCAGGTCGTGAAAACCTAGTCAAAGCCATTTAAAACATGATTGACATGTTTTGTCGATGTTGCTTTGTATGTCTAAAAGAACAAACAACTTAAAGGCTTAAAGAAAAAGAGTTTACAATGTTGAGGATTTAAAGCTATCCGTGATATTGTAAGATATTTTTAAGTAAAGAGCTATAAAATGACATTGTTACACCTTCCTTGTAAAGTTCATCATCATCATCATCAGCCGTAAGACGTCCACTGTTGAACATAGGCCTCCCCCTTAAAACGCCACAACGAACAACACTTTGCCATTTGCATCCACCGGTTGCCCGTGACTCTTATGATGTCTTATGACTCATGTAAATTAGGTGACCATATTAAAATATATTAAAATTTTATTGAATTATTATTTTTATTACAAATTAAGTAAAATCATGTGCATTATTCAATTAAGTTTTCAAGAATTTCACTGCCATCGATTTAACTTCCTGACGTTTAGAGTACTTTCCAGCATTGTTTTTCACGGGACAGGCTGAGGAATTAGAACACCTAATATGATCATTGAGATTGCTAAGAATACTTCCTTGGTTTTTAAAGTAGAACGACATTCTTTAAAATATGACGATGTAAACTACACTCTCTCCATTTTAGTACGGTTTAGTGCTAACAATTTCCTGCTGAATAATAAAAAAACTAAATGTATTAAATTACACGTTTTACATTGGAAGTTGTAAACATCCAATGTAAAACGTGTAAAAACTGATATCCTCTTATATGGTGAGCGCTAGAAGCTAAACTAGCGAGTAGACTTAGCTCAGCAGCCTTCAGGGATAGGAAAATAAGATATTTGACTCATGTAGATACGGCTCGTTTGGTATACTTTGCTTATTTTTTATGTGAAAAGGTGGTAAGCAAACTCGCGGTTATGGACATTTGCAACACCCGCTGGGTCGCAGATGCGTTGCCACCTTTTAATAAAGTGGGCTCCGGTGGGCACTTTCCAGACGAAACCCCGAAGTATAACACTTCCACTCTACGCTGGTCTTCTGTGTGGTGTTGGTACTCCCCGGACGGACCTGCCCATTCGTGCAACAGACGAGACTGCTGCTTGGCCCTACCACCGTAGGTTTCACTTAATGCCGCTCTTCTGTTAGGCGACGGAACGGCCCATTCGCGAAACAGCGAAGAATGTTAATAACAACAGTTATAATGTCTTACGGCATTCTACTTTGTGGAAACGAGCCGACATAAACACAATCTTCATCCTTCGATTTATTACGTGGGCCCCAAAGAATCATTAAGAAATTTGTTTAAAAGAAAACCATATTGACTGTTGCTTCTCAGTACAAACTTGAAAATTTTATGTATGTCCGAAAAATTAAAATGAATTTTCTAGAAATGTACATGATATAAATACTAGGATTCAATTATACATAAATACAAATTGTGCATACTTGATTATACATAAATACACAAAAGACAACAAAATTAAAATATTAGTATGTAAGTTTATCATTTACACCACCTACCATTGTCCAAATTAAATATTTTTAACCACAAGGTTGTCTGGAAGAGATCGCTCCTTAGCGATAAGACCGCCTTATTGTTTATACCTCTTAAGTTTATAGTTCTGAAACATTTCCTTTCATGTTTTTTTGGTGTTCAATAAAGAATATATAATAAAATACCAGAAATCGGTCAACGTGAATTAGATACTAAAAATTGTAAATTCTCGTTTGTGTGTTATAGGTTCTTATAATATTAGTAAATATTTAAATGATAACACAGTCTGGAAATTAATTGATCGCTCCAGGCTCTTTCAAGTGGACTTTAATGTATTTTAAACATGTTTTGGTCAAATAATGGAAAAAAAGTTGTCCCGCTGAATTTCTTTCCCCGATTCTTTTCAGGTCAGTGGCTTTTTTTCCGACTAGGTAGTAGTATTTTGACAATCAATAAGTAAGTGTAACGTTTTTTCGTTGAATAAAGATATTTGAATTGAATTGAATCACTTCTAACATTCAACATAAAAGATAATAATTAAATGTTACATTTTTAAACGATAAATTAAGTAGAATTTGAATAAAATTTTCTTTATGCTCTGGAATGTGCTCATTTCACATTTGAATATTTATTTTATATGTGGAACAGATTCTTTTTAGTTTTATCCTCTTTTATCCGTTTGCTGTTTTTTCTTCAAAATAAAATACGTTTATTGCGTTTTTTTTTTTGTAATTTAACGCAATTCATATTAAAATATTTTTTTTTTTACTTTATACTCACGTTAACGACAATTATATTACGAGAATCAGTAATTTATTTTACAAATTAACTTCACATATCAATAATAGATCAGCGAAATCTCGGTAAAAATTAAGTTTAGGACGCTTTTTAAAATATTGCTGAGTAATTAATAACCCTCTTTTTCACTATTGAGAATATGCAAGTGAATGTTATTTATTTTCATTAATTTGATTTTGTTTAAAAGTAATACAAAGTTGTACGAGTACTGAATGACTATGGCTTAAAAAGCGATTGTATAAAAAATTTACCAGCCCTTAATTCCGTTGCATATACATATTTTATTTTGACAGAAATAAAAATAACACATCTCCTTGAATGAATAGGATTAATGAAAATATAAAATTAAGTTTCAAACTTAAACATTAAAAAAAAATTCCAAAACAAAACGGAGAACGCGGAATAGACGCTTGAAGATACGTACCTCAGAATTGTCAGCTACGGAGACTGGGTGGCCGAAAGTTCGCTGAACTGCCAAGTCGAAGTCGTAGAGCGCGAAAGTGCAACAAGTCTTAGTGGCCTGGACGTGGAAGGATCCCGCATTTATAGGCACCGCTTGGGCGGGCTGAAGGCGGGGCTACGCGTGCGTAGCAGAACGCGTAGCAGAACGGTCGAGGAAATTAAAAGATAAGCTACACAATAGGTCTCCACCATACTTCTAGGCTGTGTACGTCATTCTTCCACTGTAGAATATTTAACGCCCACATTTCTCCTCGATGCATTATTCATTTGTCTAAAAATAATATCGGCAAAAGTCACTTAGCGTTTGTTATACACTTCCATGCTTTATTTCATACGCTCAGAATTTTGAATTTAATTAATACTATAAATATCTGCACAAAAATGAAGGCACTTCCTCCCATTTTATATATCATACTAGAATAGCCAACGCTTAATATTCAACTGTCATTCAATCCAGAGTTTAATAGTTAGCTTATGCTGTTATAAACTTTTTTATAGCAGCATATTACAGCGCCTCTGGGATGGACTAATTTTAAAGTGACATTTTTGAAATTAGCTTTTTAGAAAAAGTGGGAGCTTTTGTCAATCATGTTACTTTTTGTATTTTTATTAGACTGGTTTAAATTTTAATGTCCATCGGGATTACACTTGCCCAACATAAATTTTAACAATGATCGTGGGACCAAGGACATGGTCATATTAATGGTAATAACATTGTTAAATTCGCTAACTGTTCCACTTATAGTTTCCAACAGTTAATTAAGGATGGGAAGCCATTCGGAATGTGAGACAATATTGAAAGCAAACAATCGCTAATTTTAAACAATGTCTATACTATACAAACAGAAGATTCAACTACATGTAATAATTAATATATTACCCACAACGCATATGTCTCTCTGTGGCTTCAGTTTTAAAAATAAAATGGAGGCAATAATTGTTAAATTACTTTTCTGTCTTTTTATCTTCTACAATTAAGACTTATATGCTTTTTTGTTATTTTCAACAGTGGTAGGGCCACGCAACAGCATACGCTGTTTCACGAATGGGCAGAAGAGCAGCGTGAAGCGGAGGTTCTAAACTTTCGCGATGATGAATGCGGCAACCGGGGCCCTCTTTTTTTAAAATCCTCAGGGTTAACATCAGGTGAACCGCCTGCTTGTTTGACAACTTTTCACACGAAAAAAAGGCTACGACTACAGACCTTGTGGAATAGGGTCAAACGAAATGATCGTTGCTTTACAGGCACATTACATCTTTAAGCACTAAAAAAATATTCTAAAAGTTATTACTAAAATAAAAAAAAATGCATATTATATAAATGCGTTACTTAGAACGTAAGTAACGTTAGAATACTTTTAATTTCTGTTTGTGGCAAGCATTCCACGAGGATTATGTTAAGTAGATTTAATTTCATTTAGTTAAAAATACTGTTGATAATGTGTTAATAAATTTGACAATTATCGTTCGGTAAACAAATTCCACCGTGAATAAACCTTAAAATCGTGTTTATTAGAAGAAAGAAATACGCATGAGACAAAATGAGAAATATCGCAACAAAAGCGTGTTTGCATATTCCGTGGACATCCGTTCGTCATCGATTACATTATTACGTTCAGAGGTTCGTCATTTCTTCGCCGCTTAGTTAGCATTACGCTCACGTAGCGATGTTGAAAACTTTTCAAATTTCTGTGACGTGTTTCGCGAAAGCCATTACGAACGTATCAACCTTGGTTCCGACCGAACTATTTTCAATTTATATTTGTTCTAACAGGTCGTCCCACGTCCTTCCAAATGGGGCACCGTTTTTATCGTCTATAGTTTCCTCTTAAAGTGAATAAGTAGGTAGTTTTATGACACTAAATGGAATTATGATCCGAAATAGTCATTTTGCATGCAATGTTCTAACACGACACGGTTTTGAACTCAAAGCCTTCGCTGTCATCACTTCAGTACATGCAATTGCTCACTTTAACTCAATATACTCGACCAACCTGAGTTCAAAAGCTATTAATAATTTTTTGAAATTTTAATTTATTAACTGCTATGTGAATGAAAACATCCTAACGTAATCTGCACATTTTAGAAATATAATAAAAATACCTAGGTATTTCAAAAATGGATTCGCATGATGAAATATTCCCTATACCCTGTGTACAGACAAGGCCTTTGTCCAAGTGTGGGATTTATACAGGCTGTAACTTTACTTTAATTTTTTTTTCATTCAATCAGATAGTTACATCAAATTTCAAACGAATACACTGAAATCATACTATACATGTCAAAATTGTCACCCATAATAACTGGTTTAATTTCCACGAACATCACACACTCTTTTCTTCTCTTCCAGATCTATCCATATATTTCGCATGCATGAGCATCGTTAACAAGATATGCGATATGTAAATACCCTTAAAACTATACAAGAATACACGTGAAACATTTACACAAGCTTGTAACAATAAAATTAATGCAAAACTCGTTAGGGGATAAAAACGGACGGGCTCTTTCCAATCAACTTGAGAGGAACACTTCCCTTTCAATTGTTAACGTTGTGAAAATCCTAATCGCAAATGTTAACTTACCTTACTTACACGAGCGCAACCACGGGTGAAAGACGAAGAAAATATATTTACGAGTTTTCATTCTTCGCGAAGTACCGGCGGCTTTTTATCCAACTGCCAAATGAGGGTTATGTTTTTCTAGCGTGTGTAATTACGGCGAATTATTTTGCACGCTCTACTGCCTAGAGCTTTTCAAGGATTTCAACATACGAGGTGTAATTAGATTTGTATCGGTTGTAGGGTTCACTCAGGTCGTATGTTCTAGGACAAATTTTAGATATTTCTTTTTTATCGCAGCCTATTATAAATGAGCAGATCTATCCTAGGAAGTACCATGACCTCATAGAAGACCGACGTAAAGTGAGTTACAGCATACGTAGTTTAAGCATACGTTTTTGGTGAGTGAGGTAACATTGTACACATTTACCCATATGAAATATTCTCACATAAAAAAAGCCTATTATAATAATTACCTTACGTTATTGGACATAGTGCTAAATTTTATTCATCTTCTGAAAAAATCTGTTTTAAAACTAAATCGAAATGTGAAACTAACCACTTCTTGTGAATGCGATAAACGCTGACACATACTGATTGAAACATACTTAGTCTTACTTATTAATGTCAATTGTTAATAAAAAAAAAATAGGACATATATAAAAGATGCCTGGCAAATATGAATCAATCAGTTTCTTGGGTATATATAATACGATGCTGAGGAATAAAAGATGGTCTGGGAAATCTTTAACCAAATTACAATGAACAAACCCAGACAGATATTATAAATGATATTATTTATGTCGATTTTAATATTTTTTTTTTTCAAAATCGCTTTAGATCAAAATTTTCTTAATAAACAATATAAATTTTGCAATACGCATGGTACATTTTAATGTATGTACAATACGAAGCATTTGACACAACCGAAAAGGAATTATTAAAACTCTTTTAATCTTTTTTGCGGGACAATCAAATGTCGCGAGCACAAACGTGTGTGTTCTTTTATGAAAATCCCTTTTAAGTTATTTTTTTATAAAATATCTACATAGAACATTTAACATAACATTTCATGTTCTCTTTCTTTTTCGTAGAATTTACATCATAAATTGATTTTATTACATTAAGATTGTAATAAAATCAATTCATTCTCTTATTTTTTTACTCAGACATGCATCTGAATAAAAAGTAAGAGATCATATCTATTCATTATAGCTGTCGTATCTCAATCTGTAATCAGCATAGTGACATTTATATCAAATGTTTTGACATATGCTTGACAGCTACACAGTGTTCAAGTCAGCCGAGATTAGAATATAATTAATAAATATAATTACCGGTCTAGACAATGTGTTGTTCAGAATTTCAAATGAATTATCTTGCCAACATTTAAAAGAATAAAGAACAAACTATTACAGGATATCTTTACGGTTTTTCAGGCATTTTAAAGAGTTTTTTAAATAGTTAATTACAGGACAACAATTAAACATTGATTAAAAGTTTAATTGGTTTCACATGGGTAAATGTGTACAATGAAATGAGTTATTTTAATTGATCACATAAACGTCATAAGGCCCAAAGATCTAAACTCCAAAGGGAAAATTTAAAGGTCTTCGTTCCTTTTTATGGTTTTTAAGAAAAAAAAATAATGATGGAATTTAATGTATATAAAACAAAGTGTAATAGAAAGGACATCAGTAACACTTAAAGTGGCAACTTATTTTGGTTAGGTACGTATTGTCACAAGGAACAACATATTTATCATTTTTATTTAAGTATAGGAAACGAGGGACTACAAAATAAAAAGGGATTATTGACGGAGTAAGCTACCAGGTGAGTCCCATATTCTCTGTCGCTTATGTTGCCTAAATTAGGTATAATGTATTTGATGTGACATTTTATCTTAACAATGACGTATATCTATTTCCACGGTTATGTTTAAAAATTTTATTTATTCAGTCATGCATAAAACCTGTTTTTATGATAACGTATACATTGTGATCATTTTGATTTCCCGTAAATGTTTTTAAAACATTTCAGGTTTTTGACGATCCCATAGCATAGTTGATAGTGAACCCTGTCTCTTGTGCCAAAGAGTGTGGGTTCTATCGTGGGTTTTATTTGTGATGAACTTAGTGATTTTCTAGTGTATTTTGATATCTATAATATGTTTTTATTTACAGAAGAAAAGTACGTTTAAGTGTGTTTATCAGTTATCTAGTACCCACAGCTTTGCTTAGTTTGGGACTAGATGTTAGTTGTGTAAAAAGATGCCCCGAAAATGTTTATTTATTGTTTTCTTTTTTTTTTGTTTCTGATATTATGCACATATTTCTTTTTTACATCACATTTTATATTTGATGACTCCATGGTGCAGTTGCATAAGTTATTGGCTTCGGCGTCGAGGACATGGGTTCGATTTTCACACGGGAATAACACCGCCGGCCAAAGCCAATTGCTTGTGAACTGTGCCACCGAGGCCAGATTGTACACGTAAATAAAAAAAATATTTTTTATATTTTAAAACTTATTTCTCGAAATCTTTTCTACTAATTAATAAGAAAACTGTATAAGTTGCAAATTATTAAAATATATTACATGGTTCGAGGGTTCTATAAAGAATTACTTTTACGCTAATGACATAAAACTTTTGAATTCAATTATTGTTTAGAATATAGAAAACAAATTTTAAGTAACAAAAATTTTTTATTTTGCATGTTAACCTTTCTGTAAAATAATTCTATCTCACCAATTACGCGTTAGGATCACTTAAAATTAACGCTAATATGGTATCAATATAATAACCAGACGCGAGTTCCGCTCTAGAGACCGATAGTTACGCACCAATACTTAGTAAAGTTCCCCACTTGAAAGCACTAGGGTGACCATGTTTCAAGTAGTAATCAATATATGCAGATTAATCAAAACAAACGCAAATAATTTTTAAGGCAAATAACAAATGTTTTGATTCAAGGTTTTTTAATAAGTACAAACAAATCAAAGATGGACCCTGGATGGTGCCTGGATGGTGCCATTTTTCCTTTTTAAAGAGACGTGAATAAGGACAACAAGGTGCTTTGCGCCCATTTCTGACACCCTTATGGATATTGTGTATAATAACATTACTAATATTTCACTTTTCACTGGTTTTTATAAAACATTAGTGGCATTATAACTAAGTTACGTAACTAAGTTAATGCGATGACAGTCAGACAAAATGAAACTTAACGTAAATATATCAACATCTTTAAGGCCCATTTACACTGTGCCAGTTTCTTGCCTGTTGTATACAATTAAATTGAAGCAATAAATAAGTTGCATGGTCTAAACAACAAATGGTCTAACCAATTATTGCGCGCAATTTATTGCATTCAATTATTGCTCTTGCATGTACAAGAAAATGGCATCGTGTAAATGGGCCTTAAAGATGTTGATATATTTACGTTGATATATGTACTTATGTTTGTTTGAAACACCTATGAACACGGAATCTAATTTACAAAATAAACTTGTCCAAAGGAAAATTTTTAATACTTTAATGCTAAAGAAGTAACTTTTTACGTGTGTTAATGAAACACAACAAAATTTTAAAGTTCATAGCCACCCTATCCGTACCTTTTAATTAATCACGAGATAATATCGGCGTGCTATTGCGCGATTGTGGTGTAACGCTAAACGTTCTCTTAAAAGTATATGCATATCTAGACTTATACGTATAATAGATGTCGCATTAATACTTTACATTTAAACCCCAGCTTTCGTAGGTTTTCTAGAAAAATGTAATGCCTAATTATACAATGTGAGGTTCACTATACTATATTGACGCAGTTACTCATCGTATAGCTCCGACACTGTGTGCTTTGGTGCCCTGTGATTGTGCAGATTTCCCTACGAATAAATAATTATAGCCACTACTATTGAAAATGCTATAGAAAATATGTTGGACTTGATTCCAGCCCAGTTACGGCTACTGATCCTCTTCGCCACGACAAGGCGGTAGTCGGTCGGTAACTCCAACATTAATATTCATCCATAACATTCTCGTTGGATTCGTGCTCAGCGACGGTTGCCAACTGAGAACTGAGAGCTTATATATTCAAAATAATGTCGAACTCCACCCTGACACCAGAAGTAGGATTTGTACATACACTTACACAAGAATTTCATTATGAGAGACTTGCAGTAAAAATAAAAATTAATCCCAAAGTTTTAAGAGCTATGGCGTAACAAATGTTCATCGTTGAAAGTTGTTTGTAAAGTATTGTATGCTGTAAATGATGCACACTTAATGACGCCAAGCATTGCTAAAAATTAAATAGAAAGAACGTATACGATATAGAGATTTTTTTTTTGCTCTGTTTAGCTTAGTAGGTAAAGCGTTTGGGTTGGGCACGAAATGGAGGACGCATGTTTGAATCCGGCAGCGCCGATAAATTCTCCGTTGTCGTGCAGGCAAAAAAATAGCTATAAACAAGGCTCACAACATTGAGAAAAAATACAGATAACATTCGCGAGGGACCATAAATCTGAAAAGCAAAGAAAATAAAACAATAAATCTGTTTACAGTGGACAGCAATGGAATGTAGTGGCGCCAGTAGTGAGCAGGTTCGTGTTGCAACACCTGTTGAAAGCACTAGCATGAGTAAAATCGAAGCATTCAGTTGTTCCTGTTCATTCATGTTCCTTTTTTGTATGGAAAAGGAGAAAAACAGGCTACTTGGTGGTATGTTTTCACCGCCACCCACGGACACTCGCAACACCAGAGAAGTCTCAAATGCGTCTCCGAAGGTCGGAAAGGAATAGCCTCTCTTCTTGAAGGTCCCTAAGCCATATCGTTCTGGAAACACCCCTGGTGACAACTGATTCCACTTGGTTGTTCGTGGCAGGTTCGTGAAAAATGCACAGTCGTGGACTGCCAACCATCGAGATGAGAGTGATGGTATTTGGCCATATGATGGCATACCCTCGTTTTTGCTAAGGCTCTCTGAAAGAATTCTTGCGAAACGTTTGCAATACGTTTTTAATATATGCCTAGACCATGCAACTATTCCGATACAGTAGAAAACTACATGGATTATCCCAGGGTAGTGCACGATGAACAAGGTGGTGGCCGTCGCTAGCAAAAGTTAAATCAGCGATACATTTGATGATTTCTTTTTATTTTATAATTTTGACATAATATGAGCAAATAAATAAATGCCTTGATGTTACCGCTCATTTTTTATACCTCATAGTGATATCAACATGTTTTATTTTTACTCTTTCTGATCGCAATTCGTTATGTCAAATAAGTATCCCTGTTGTTCCTGTCACAAAATTTAAAATCAAATTGTTTGATTTTCAACGGTAAATATTGCAGATTTCTATTTTGTATTTGATTTTAAAATGGTGCTAAATAATTCACTACAGCAACTTATAGAAACTTTCCCAAAATATGTAATTGAGAAACAACCAAGTCCTAGCTATGTGGAAATGTATACTGAGGACAATAAAGACGTTATACTAGTTTACGCTAAGGTATGTGAACACAGACGTCAAGATTTTGAGTCAAGTTTTCTGACGATTTCCAGTCCAATCATTCATTCAAAGTCTTTTATTCGTTTTCATATAGATAAAACAATCCGGAGCTTTAACAAATGTAAAAGGAAACAACAATAGCGTAACAGGTAAGCTAAACAATTTACTTCTTATGACTGTGAGCTTTTTCATCAATTTGACTCTAAAATGTAACATTTGTCTTACATTGATTTTAAAGATGAACTCGAACTCACTGGTTCTCCATTGAAACTTGATCTAAGCCTTCACACGGCCTTAGATGAAACCTTGCTTCCCGATGAGCCGCAGCTTTGGAGAAAAGAAGAACTTGTTCATGGTCCTATAGACATAGAAAAAGCAAGGTATGATCTTATATTATGAGGTAAAATTCAACTTTAAACATATATTTTATGCATTATCTTTCCCATTGGAGTTGAAAGATATGAAAGCTTGCATTACTTAAACAAAACATTATCTTTTAAAATTAATTATTGAGTTAGACTAATAAACTATTTTTAACTTCTTAGGGAAGTTGCAAATCTTTACAATAGTAGTTTAGCCCAGTTGAAGAAAGAAGAAGCAACACCTATGTGGATATTATGTAACCCGTCATCTGAGAATAAACCATTATTACTGACAGTGCAATCTGATGAAAATCACTTTACCAGAGGAATAGTCAATTATGAAGGCACTGTGACTTTAGAAGAAGTGGATGTGGATAGACTTATTGAGAATTTCGCAGAACAAGAGGGGTGGAAGGAGGAAATGGTGATAATGACTTTACAACTTACTTCCATCAAATTTCATACAATTCACAACATAAAGTACGCACAATGAATATTTTAATTGAACATCACAACTGTATAGCATTCTTAGTGCAATTCAAATTGAAAAACATAATTCATGTTTATAATATACATAATTCATATATGAAGCAATAAATATTTGATACTGTTTTAGCTTAGTGCCTAGGAAAGTTGATTTGTGAGCAAAGGATGTAGTTTTTAATCTCAGAGTCATAACTCTAGTTCTAAATTTATAATGTAACTATGCACTGTGATGTCACACACATTAATGGTAGTATAATGGGCACAGTTTACCATATGTGACATTTATTAATATCAGTAATTTCTCTCTTAAAGAGTTCAATCCTTGAGTACCTTTCTACCTTACATTAATGAGGATGGTAAATGACCATTCCAATCCAAGCCTATTCACTCTTACTTTGAAGACACTAGCACTGTATTAAGATAAAATTGGCAATTAATTAGAAATTAAAGGAGTCAAACTTAGCATCCAATTAAACAAGTGTTTTTTACACTTTTACTTCTTGATGTACTTGCTATATAAATTATTGTAATGGTATATGATCTACCAATTAGTATATAGATTATGATGTAAGAGATAAGATCAATTATTAAGTAAAAATTTTAAACCTTTTTCAGGTCTCTTACTCTGTTAATTGCAAATATGTGCTGTCAGGTATTGCATATGGGTCTTTGAATACGGATGAACTGTTGAATGCAGCCCATGGTGGAGTTACAGAGTTGTTATGCTCTTGGTCAGTCAAGACACTACTAACACCATACATAAGCTGCAAAGTCAATTATGTAAGACTGTTTTTCTTTTTGATTGACATAAATGTTTAAGCTCCATCAGTCCGAAATAAGGCATACAAACTAATCATAGAATCAGGCTTTAAGTATAAATAAATAATTAGTCCTTTTATTATCTTTTTGGAATTAAATCAATTTTTAGTTGAAAATAAAAACTAATAACATGCATGATTTTAGTACATCTCTGTAAAGCAAAATAAGTATAGTTGAATATGATTATTTAATTAAAAATTTCTTTAGTATTAACTCAAATTGATGCATTGTTTTCTTTATATTATGTCTGTTTCAGTTCCAAGAAGTAATAGTTGGACATTTGGCCAGTCCTTGTAAAGCAATATGGAAATCGGTTACTGCCTTGCACAATATTAATCAATTATTAGTAGAAATGACAGCAGCTGGTTTCAGTTCCATCAACTTAGAAACAGCTACAATAAGGTGATAACTTTGTGCGTTATTATTTTTGTTTCTAAATTTCCATATGAATTGTTTTCTTTTTTTTTTTTTTTTTTGAGTGAACTGAACTAAAAAAAGGTTTTATTCCTTAGTAATATCTTTTACATATATTAAAAATTTCGTGTCACGTTGTTTGTCCACCATGAACTCCTAAATTACTGAACTGATTTTAATAAATTTTTGCATAATGTGTGTCGTTTGATTGAACTTGAGAGATAGGATAGTTTATATTTCCATTTATAGTCACAATATTTTTTATGGCAAATTATTTGTTTTATATATGACAAAGAATAATTATCTGTGAGTTCCATAATAATCTAATAGATGTAGGTATAAGGTAAATTTATCGGCTGGACTCAGTAAGTATCCAATAAATGGTGCAGATGAAGTTACATGGGATATAAGAGAACTTTCATTTACCTTTTTAAATCAGCATAACCTTTTTAAATTTAATTACATCATAAATGGCTGTAAGTTTTCCGAAAATGTATAAATTAAATTAACTATAAATTTATTTCTTTGAATTAAAAAGTTTTATCTTCTTGTTGGAGAGTTGTCAAGATGTATGTGTATTAGTACCTACACTGTCTGCTGAATAAAATAAAGAAGTTTTAATATAAAATTATTACAATTTTCAAATCAGCTTGTTCTGTTTAACTTACAGAAATGCCGTTTTTGGTGTAAAAAAGCCAAATGTAACCAAAAGGCTTAATGAGTTACTAAATGAAACAGAAATGTACACCTATACAGCCGAATGTCCCGCAGGTGGTTGCATATGTATAACAGAAGATACCAGCAGTTTGAAGCAGTGTCTTTCATCAATGTGTGCAAACGGTTCCAGTAACGACTTCACATATAAACTGTGGGATATTCTGAGAGGTAAACAATATATAAGTTCTTCAATGCTTTAATGCACACAAATGATGATTCCGACAAGTTTAAAAAACGGTCAACATAACTACCAATGATTCAAAAATATTCACAATATTGTATAGTCATGTGTAACTGTGGTAGGGCCTCGCAAGAGTAAACTACTCTGTTGAATGAATAGTCCATACAGGTAAGTACCGCGACCTCACAGAAGACCGGCGTGAAGTGTGTTTCTCCTGGAGAGTTGAGTTAGCTGCCCATTTTATTAAAAGATATCAACGCATCTGCAACCCTACGGATGTTGCAAATGTCAATCGCCGGCGCTTAACACTTAACATCTGGTGAACCGCCAGCTTGTTTGGCACATTTTCGCATAGCAAAAAATATTTTACCAAACTGTATAGGAACCTTGTTTATATTGATCTTTTCGTCATACCTCTTGATGTCATAGGTAACTATGACATCAAGACGTATAACAACTTAGTCTGTCCCGTGACCATGAACGCTGGAAAGGGTTCGAAACGTCGGGAGTTCAAATAAAATAAAAAACGCGATAAAATCAATAAACTAGTTTCATTTAATATGTATAATATTCGCGTAAAAACAAGAAACCATAGTTTTACTTACCTTTATAAGGAATAGTTTTACTCAACTGTATAGGAATATTTATTGTACTAGATCCGCAAAACTTAGACCTTATGACAAACCGGCGTGAAGTGAAAGTAGAATACTATCCTGTGTATGAATTGAATACACAGCCCGTGGCGTCGGGAAAAATAGTTACCAGATGCCCGGCTATCATAGTTTTATATTCATCTCGATTCATCAATGAGACTCAACTCATATTTCAGATTGCGATAATGCGGAAGAGCTAATCACATTATTATTGCAAGCGTTGAAGTTTGTGTCCTCTGGAAAAATAAGACCGTTTGTAAGTGTTTTCATTATTTAATAGTTTCATTAATTACTTAAATATAATAAAGGTGTCTTATGTAACAGGATACCTCCTTTGGCGCTTCGAGTGCGCCTAAAATCTAGGAAATTTTAATTTGATTAAATATAATCATCAGTGCATTTGAAGAGCTTTGTTGATGGAGTGCTTGAGGACTTCAACAAAGCTTTCATTGAAAACAAGGGTGAATATTCACGCAATACATTGAAAGGAAAGTTATGCTGTTGCCTATAATAAAGGGACTTCGTACACTAAAGCCCAAAAGCTTTTAAATACTAAAGAATCGAAACAAAAAAATTGTATTTTACTTTTTTTACATGTAACTGATATGCAAAAACATCATATTTTAATGATAATACTATAAAGAGACTCAAGATGATGCAACACCACTTATTCAAAAGTTGCCTGCAATAAAACGTTTTTAATCATTGATTGAATGTTTCAATAACTTCCGACGGCATTATTCTAAGAATTCCTTTAAATGCAAATTTTTATGTTATTTTTATTTATTGTTAAAAACCCTAACAGAATAATGTTGTTTTGTAATTAATGTTATAATAGTCTTGGGAACTGATATTAACATGATTACACTCAAAGATGATATTATCATGAACAGAGACACTTAATACTGCTGAAAAACAAAAAAAAAAAAAAAACAAAATTTTAATTTAAAAATCTAGGAAAATATGTAAGTTATACTAATGGATTTAGTAACAGATATTTTAGTAATATTTTTAATTTTGATGAATTTAATAAATTGATAATTTTATCTATAAATGACTATTCATTGATACACGGACTCTTAAATGACAGATCGACGTCAACAACAAGAGCTACCTATCGAAGCTGGTGCTGAAACTCTCCCGGGGCCATTCGCAAACATCGAAGGTGCTGAAGAATCTCCGCTCCAGTCCGCCGCAAGCGATATCGCTCGTTGCCCAAGTTGGCGTCGAGAAGACCATGTGGGAGTACACTAGGGTCATGTCGCTCCTAGAACATTCCTTCTACATAGCTGGCATATGGAATACGGACGCTAGGTAAGAAAATTCGAAGAGCCTATTCTGTAGACTCTGCGGTGATGACGAGGAAACAGCTTCGCGTAGTCTGTGAATGCGATGCCCTGTACCTCCGAACAAAACGCGACTGCGCTGTGAAATCCACGGCGCTTACGATCGCAAGAAATCTGTCCTCTAAATGTAGCGCTGGATATTTTTATAGTTTGGTTAGGCGTCATACACTCATATTTTAGCGCTGCAGCGAACTCTCCAATTCCACCTTACCGGTATTTGAACAAATAGTTTTCGCTAACACTCATATCTATTATATATATCTCATATCATATATCGGAAGAATACCCAAAGCCACTTCCATATTGAACACTGCCGCGATATTGATGATTTGTGTGGAAAGCGTTGGATAGTAAGTCCTAACGATCGGCGTAGGGGTTAGTGAATGCCTCTTACGCCAGAGGGTGTGGGTCCGATCCCCACTTTTGGAAAAATATTGTGTGATGAAACTAGTGTGTGTCTAGTGTCTGGGTGTATATATATGCATAATATGTATTTATTTACACAATAAAAGCATGTTTAAGTATATTTACAGTTTTCGAGTACCCACAGTACAAGCGTTGCTTAGTTTGTGACTAGTAGAGAACGTTGTGCAAAAATGTTACCGCATAAAAATATTTAGTTAGACCCAGAAGATCTATTGTAGCGATACCGACACGTACACGTAATTCCGCAGGACGCACGAGTCCATAGAGCAGATCAACCAGACCATCCAGGACATGACCACCGGCGGGGACTTCACGCTGAACCCGTTCGAGAGCCTCACCACGGGCGAGCACTCGATTCGTCTCGACGGGGACTCGTTCTTCGCGGAGGAGGCGAACGAGCTGACGGTGGACGACTTCGCCTCGCTGAAGAGGCACGGCCTGGCCGGCGAGAGGAGGGAGCCCAACGAGGTGAGCAGGGGATGGCAGTAGTGTGGCAGAATGAGTGGCCGTGTTTTATTGCCGAAATTGTGGTTCTTCTATACAACTGTGCCAATTCATTCAGCAGAAGTTACAGTGCCCATTAGAGTTCGGAACGCACGAGTTTTCTCCGTCGACATTAAGGTTGAAAGTTTTGAAAGCTTAGAAAAATATTATTTCAGGTCCCGGCGAGTGCGCTCCATACAAGCAAAAAAATCTTTGCTGTCATCCTATGCGAACAAACCCCAAAACCTTAAGCCACGAGTGATATTAAGGCTATCATTAACAGATGTTAATTGTTAATGATAATTGCACTTTCACTCGGCTTTCCGTATTTATTAAGTTCCGCGCCATCTGTTAGTCTTTTTGGTTAACTTTTCGGAGAATGCCAGCTGTAAATTAATGACGACTTTACTATAACTCGTGGCCTTCGGTGTTTATACAGTTACGCGCCATCTGTTAGTATTTTAGGTTAACATTTTTAATCTGAACCAGGTGCCCCTGATCGCGGACGAAATTGACATCAGCCCTTGGAAGAATCACCTCATGAAGTTTGCTCAAGTGCACGTCTGTCTGGAGCATCTGTATCGCGCCGAAACCTGTCTGAGAGCGGACTTTGGTACTGTTTCTCATACATACATTTTTATATTAATCCATCTAATGGTACAATACTAGCCTTTACAAGTGTATAGGTATAGTGTCACTTTTATTTGTATTCTATGGATGTGATAACAAAATATCCTGCTATTAAACGGTAATTGGCGATTATAGGTTCATTAGAAGTTGATTTTAAAACTTATAGGCACAATGTTATTTTCAATAGACTAGGTACTTAAAAGTTGCATTACTTTCTTTGTAAATATGTTGCATTTTGTTTGATGTCAACGGCATGGGTTTGATTCCCACATCGCACAAATATTTGTGACCGATATATAATTATTCTGGATCTGGATCCAAGGAAGATTGACCTCGTAAAAAAACCTTGTCAATACCATTAACAAACAGGAAGAGCAACAGATTAGGAAGATACAGCAGAATTACTTAAAGAATAAGGTAAATAACCTTATGGGTAAATCGCAATTTACCCATAAGGTCATACTTACCTAATAGCTAGCCACTAGGTCTACTAAACCTAATACAACCTGTAAACAAGTTACACAAGTTAATAAACTTTCATTTGTTTTTAACACAAAAGTATATTCTACTAGATGCAGACACAAAATGAATTTGAATAAAACAAAAAAAGGACAAGAATTTAACTTAACAACTAATATAAACAGAGATGAAACTACAAAAAAATATTCTATGAATAGTCATGTCCTTTGAAGCAGGGCTAAAAATATATTTATTTAAATACTTGCACTAACAATGATACAAATAAATTGTATAATTGTTTTCTTGTGGAGGCCAGAGCATCTGCAAATATATTCGCGCTAATTGGATTATATAAATCGATAATAATTGATGCGCACATGAAATAAAATTTTGGATTAAGAACAATTATTGCTTCCATGCAGGTCAAATGAAACCGCTGGCATCAAAACTTCTGGAAATATACGTGTCGGAGAAATCGCCCGTCCGGACTGTTGGCCAGCTCATGAGCGACCCGGTCCAAAGCATTCAATTACCAATCACCAACAACATTGTACAAGATCATCTGAAGTGAGTCGAATCAGTTACTATTTAGTATTGTAGGCGGCTACAAAAACCCTTATAATGGAGTGAGTAGGTCAGCATTACTTTCTAATAATAAATACGGAGCGGTACTTACGCTCTTATTCCATTAACGACTTTATTCAAGATCATCTAGTGACTTGAGAAGTACCGCCACATATAACACATTTCATAGTGATCCTATAAATATAATCCCTTTTAAATTCTGAGGATAATCACATACCCTCGGTACGAATAGTCGACGACAATTGGTATCGCTTAGCATGCCTTAAAATTTGTGACGTCATTCTGATGGAATTTATGCTCATTCCTCAGTAATTCTTAGCTTACTGTTGAATACGCCACTGAAGTAAGCTGACGTTTAAGGCGTTAGCAGTTTCTGTTGGAAAAAAATGTGCTGTGAACAAACTGTTCACTAAATCAACTCTGTATTATATAAATTTCCGAATTATATTTTTAATCTGCATGAAAATACAAGAAAACATTGGTGGCCTTGATATCACTGTAGTTTTTGTTTACAAAATAAACGTTACCGATTAAAAAGAAAGAATGCGAAAATATGGTATCATGAAGATTAAAAAAGTTCTTCAGTCTGTTCACGATTGCTTTAGAAATGTATGTAAACGTATAAATTATATACTAACGTGTTTATGATGAATTATTTATATATATAAAACATAATCGTGTGGGAAATGTTCGAAATACAATTAAAAACGTTTGCAACTTCTTTATAATTTTTTACTTCTTTTCGTCGTGTCCGTCATTTATCACCTTGCCATCGCCATCTTCTCTCCCTTTCCTACTCGTCTCGCTCACACTCTCGTCGTTCCTTTTCACATATTACTCTTACTCTTTTACGTTCCATTCCCACAATCATATATAATATAATTTTATTATCATATATAATAATTATATTATCATATATAATAATTTTCATTTTTTATACAATATAATTTTCATACATTAAATTTATAAAATAAAAATGTACATAAAACAATATTAACATTTTTATTTTAACATTTATTTTATTTTTTAATATCGATGACAACGGTTTTTGCGTTCTCTTATATCATGAGCAAAAATAGAGATTTTTCCTCCCAAGAAATCCTAAAATCGGAACACTTCATACTGCATGGCTTGTTTGGTTCAAACTGCGTCCTTGGACATTTCTGTCCGTTTGGAACTAAACTGGCTCTGAGTGGCCACCATTGTCTTTCCCTTTGCTTCCAAAGGAAATTATAGCTTATTGAATAAGTATTTACTGTCTAAATTGCAAATGTTCCCTACGCTTCGTTTCAGGAAATCTGCTTTCTGGTATCGCATGGAATTGACACGGAAGGGTGATTCGGATGATTATTTGAGGGACGCGAAATTAGTCTACCTGTACTCACAGACGCCAGTTATGCCGCCGTCAGTTTGGCAACACTTGGGTGGGTATTACATATACAAATCGCTTTTTTATTCGAGGTAGTTGACAAGATATCTCTCAATGTAATTTTTAACACCAACTGCATATCATCACCGCAAATGTAACGGTAATTAATTTAAACAGAGTTCTCTTCGTAAAATCTTTAATGCAATGAATTGAATATAATGCAATTGGAAACAAGCTTATGCGATTACATTAAAAGTTCCGTGAATAAAAACCTACAAGGAAAAACAATCGCCATTGGGAAGTAAACGGTCGATGGTCGGTTTGTATAGAACCCGATGAAAGTAATGTTGCTTGTATTTAAAATGTGCAGATATATCGTCGAAAAATGTTTTCCGGGTAACACATCAGACATTCTAAACACTAAACCGACTGGTACCTAGATATCGTCACCGCGCGAAAATGTCTGATGTCTTGTCTACTTTATTTACTTATTTGCAGTGCGCGCCATCTAGGGTTCCTTTATTGTACTCTTTCTCAAACGTCAGTATAAATGTCTCTGTTATAGAGATGGGTCGTATCGCTTTTTCTGAGTACCGTATCTGAATCAGATTTCGATTTCAAATATCAGATTTCGAAACTATGTATTTTAATATCTAGATATTTTACGGTCCCGTATCCACTTGAATTCTTAAAAAAAAAAAATTTTTTTTCAACAATATTTTATACTTATTATAAATTGTGCAGGCGTGACTAAATTCAAAAACCTTACTGAATTTAAAATCACACTTTTTTTATACTATTAAGGTAAAATTAAAACATTACCTGATTAAATTAAAAATTTCATTAAAAATAGAAATTTAAGTAATATAAAAATGATTTATTTCAACATCTTATATATCGCTTAATAATTGACTTTAACATATTCTTAGAACACGCAATCATGAGTGACAATATTTTTATAATTTGTGTAAGAAATAATACATTGTATTATAACTTAGGGCGGAAGAAATTAAAATATACACACAAAGCACATAAGCCTTGGTCTGATTTCCACCCAAGCAGCACAGCACTATTACATTATATTTTTCTTTTTGTGTAGTTTTATTTTTTCCAAAAATATGAATAAAATTTAACTAATAAAAATATTCACAAAAAATTTACCTCCTAAAAATTTCCATTTATATTTTTCTTCCTTAATTTAGGCAGAAAATTTTTAAGTAGTAAGTTGGCATCCCTTACTATTACGTGCTAGGTACCAATGCAATCCAGCTTTAAACAAAATTTAAAGACATCGTTAATACCGTAATTCGTATTTAAATGCAACTAAAAATGTTTTTTTCCATGCTGTTAAGATTCAAAATTACTTAACTGCGCGCTTTGTCGCCCGTTACGGCTCAAGGCTAAACAAAACAATAAAAATATACTTAATAATATCGTTGTAGTAATCGTTGATACCATGATTAGTATTTAATTGAAACGGTTCTTATTTGCATGGTCTTAAGATTCAAAATTACTTAACTTATTCAAAAAATCTGATATTGTACCTTGCTTGCCGTACTGCTCTAACTAGTGTAATATTTGTATCTCACGCGCTTTGTCGCTCAAAATCTGTTTAAAAATCTGATATCGTGCATTGCTTGCCGTCCCGCTCTAACTAGTGAGTATTTATATCTCACGCGCTTTGTCGCTCGATATCTGATATCGTGCATTGCTTGCCGTCCCGCTCTAACTATTGAGTATTTGTATCTCACGCGCTTTGTCTCTCGAAATCTGTTTAAAAATCAGATATTGTGGCAAACGCGTATGATATCGCGATTCGTGTCGGTATAGCGAGCGAGCACGGTACATCAGATTTTGGAAATATCAGATATTGTAAAATACATAGATATTGAACGAGCCAGTAAGCGATATTCGGATATTGTACTAATATCCAGTTTTCATATCTGATACGATATGTATCGCCCACCACTACTCTGTTAGTTTCTAATCAAAGTTTGAGTTGTAATCAAAGAAGTGCAACATACGTATTAAGTTCTAGTCTGTTTTTTAGTTTCTCATTCTGCTTCAAATTCGTTTAAATATTATATTTAATAGGTGAATGTTTAAAGAGTTACAAATAATAAGGAATTCGTTTGCGGAAAAATTGATAGATCACGAGCGTACTTTATTTACAGAACCCTCCTCCGAAGATGTCGCAGAAGTGACAACAATGCCTGAAGAATTGAAATTCCACTGCACCAAGTACATCAATATAAGCAATAAGCTGGTTCGTAATTTGAACATTTAGGATTCCAAGGTCACTCGAGCAATTCTCAATGACTCAATCATCGTGTACAAGTTACGTGTACTCCTCATTTGAGCCTGGTGAAATAAAATAGCATGGATTGTACAAAATGTATTATTAATAGTTAACATATTGATAGTTTTATATTTTCGTATAAACATAAACTTACTGCGCTCTAACCTGCGAACGTAGTATATAGGGTATGCCATGATAATGTAAGGAACAATTTTGTGATATTTATAATTATGTTATTAAACTATTACATAATGTGGTGTATTAATTTTCTTCCTTATACAGAACTTAATATTTTTCATTTATCATTATTCAAAACACTTAATCATTATCATCATCAACACGACATCTTTATCATTTCCGTCGAAGTCTAATGTTGGAAATAGACTCTCCCAAGACACGCCGCTTTGCTTACCCTATTTTTATTGTAGTCTTGAAAAAAAGGGCTCCAAAAAGCAGTTACATAAAAACTGTAATGTTTAAAACAAGAATTATGTTAGGTACGTTTTGATATCATACAAAGTTCAGATGTGAAATAATGTAAATACTAACTACGAATGCATTACACGTTTAAATTTTCATTTCCATTAGACCCACCGAAAGCAAATTAACTTGATATGAAATTTAAAAACTATTAGCAAGTCCCTCGTAGTGATACTCGCCGACCAAATCCGACCCGATTCTCTGTCTATTATTTTTAATTACACTCGAACATCAGACGAGAATGCAACCGTTAATGCTCCGTCGATACATCAGCGCCGTTACGGCAACAAACAGAAGTGGCATAGGCACGTTTGTCTTTGATCTTCGGTGTTAATAAACGAGAACGTTTCTCGGTTTATCAGTTTTTTCGGATCTTACCCGCGTGTAGACACCGAACTGTTTATTGTTACGCGAACGCGATGAATCCGCTTGAACCGCGAAACTAGTAGTGATTTATTTATGATCGTTTTTCTTATATACTTACCAATTTATTTCCTAAATGTTTTTTGATATTTAATGTTTATTTCACTCGCAGCATGGCTAGCACTTGCTTTCCTTAAATGTCTCTTAATAGCAGCTATCTCTTAGTTTATCATTTACGGTGTAAGGTAACGAAATAAATGAATTTTGGGTTATCATCTTTGAAATGAGTACCGTACTTAACAACTAATTTACGTAATTGAATAATCTATCTGAAATCTTTTGACATAAGGAATCGATAAAAGCAACGTATTTTAAGGTAAACTTCTTTAAAGGATAAGATAAAAAAGGTTAAACTATACAAGTATTATAAGAATGGTTTTATACAAAAGGTTTATTATTATAATATGTCCAATAAAACAATAATATCGGCCTATTGCCACTCACTGCTGAACGTAAGCCTCCCCCAAAGCGCGCCAACTATCCGGGTCCTGGGCAGCCCGCATCCATCCGTTAGATCTTACCCTTCTTAAATAGCCATCCTGCTGCTGGCCGTCTTACACTACGTCTCCAGCGGCCATCAGTGCGTCTGGAGACATGGCCAGCCCACTTCCACTTCAGCGTGCTAATTCTGCGCGCAATATCAGTAACTTTACTTCTCTGGCGAATAACTTCGTTTCGAATCTTGTCTGCCAGAAGAGCCGACACATTGAAATCTTGGACCAGCCCCACGATGAGTGGCCACGTTTCGGCTCCGTAGGTTAGGACGCACTGGTTAAAAACCTTGGACTTGAGGCATTGCGGTATTGACACAGCCTAAGCGTATATGGCCATGTTTTTTGTTTAAATATTTAAAGATGTGTTGTGTACGGCAGTTTGTTTTGTGTCAAGCGAATCTAGCTGCTTAATCATTCCCAACGTGATAAGAATTGAGTCTGTCCTCATTCGCCTGACATGAACGGGTGCAGCGATCTCGACTCGTAAAAGTCTGCCACGTCTGGGCTTCGAACGCGCGACCTGGAATCCTTTTCACCATTAAGCCAACACCGCACTCTAATTTAATGCTTCTGAAAATTTTTTACACCACTTCCCATGTCCCGCTGATCTCATTTCTTTAGTTACGTATGATCGATATAATAGCGGCCGATTTATGACCTTTCAGAAATGTACTGTCTACACAAAAAGTACACCAAGAGATGAATCTATTTATCTGACAAAAGCAATATCTGTTAGTATAAGTCAACAAAACATTTACTAATCAATTATTAACAAGTAAGTTTACGGTAGTAGAGCCACGAAGCAGCCTCGGCTGTTGCACGAATGGGCAGGCTCGTCCGGGTAAGTACCACGACCTCACAGAAGACCAGCGTAAAGTTGAAGTATAATACTTTCGCGTTTCTTCTGGTGAGTGAGGTGGCCGGAGCCCAATTTTCAAATGTTTGTCAACGCATCTGGAACCCTCGGGTGTAGCAGATGCCCATGGGCGGCGGTATCACTTAACATCAGGTGAACCGTCTGCTGGCTTGGCAACTTTTCACATAAAAAGAAGTAAAACTCAAAGCCCATTGGTGGGGCATATATTGAACAATCTGTCACTTTATAGTACCAATAAGACGATTATTACCATTGTTGATTACAAATTAATTGGAGACTTCAAGATACACAAAATGTGAAACATTATAATATATGTTAAACACATTCTATCTTGCAAAAAATGATATAAAAACTGGTTAGTGCTTGAAATGTAGAAGTGTTAACGAACAGTTTGCTAGCTCGAGATTCTGTTGTGTCGTGTCTGAATAGATTTGAAAGCTTTTAGCATTGTCAGGACAGTAGAAAATAGATGAAACCTGTGACAAGTTTTATTCCGAATCCATTTAGATTTTTTTTAAATACACGTTGACACAAAATTTCCCAATTACAACATGCCAATTTCATACTTAGTTTACCATTAACTATCAGTCAATATCCGTATACTGGCAAAAACCTCTGCCTTTGACGGTAAAGATCTTAACCATAGTTATTTGATTAATAATAAAGTTGGAAACAATACTAAATACGAACGCCTTTGAATGAAATCAACGTAAACGTCAAAAAGCGTTGTAACCGTCCATTCGTGAAACGTACACCTGATGTTAAGTCATTATCATCGCCCAGGCACATTTAGGACACCTGTAATATTGCAATTGCTTTACCTGCCTTTAAGAAAGTGGTTCCCGGCTATTTAACTCACTAGAAGTAACAAACATAATTTATATTCCACTTTAAGACGGTTTTATTTGCGGTCGTGATACTCGACGAATGTGCTGACTCAAAGAAAAAACCAAGCATTTATTTATTTGCCGCTAGAAGAAACACAAACATTTATTACACTTCAAGACGGTCTTCTGTGCGGTCGTGATACTCCCCCCGACGAATGCACATTCGTGAAATAGCAGCAAACAAACTAAAGAATCATTCATTTATCATTTATTTATCTGCCGTCGGTACGCCAAGCGGTCCTGTTTACATTCATACGCGCCTGTTTACTTGAGGGGCCACGTGCGCTAATTATCCCCTTGTTACTCAATCATATTGTGTTGCTATTCGCGGCTTGTTTGGGTAATCGTTCCGGCCGACAGTGGGTTATGGTGCTTCTTGAAAATATCCCGACTCCGATCCCCGCGATCAAGCTCAAAGAATGCGTCTTCTATTCTATGAGAATTCAACTTAACTGTTAGTAAAGGCCTATCGTGATCGACTATAAATCCGAGAGCATCAATGAGTTATCCATTTATCGGACTTTTACGCACAAAACTACTCACCGTAGAGATGTATGACAATATAATGCCTATTTATGTCTAAAACATTGTAGAAAATGTCTGAGTGATGTTTAAGTTTCACGAAACTTAAGTGTAATGACTAATTTTACCCGTTCCTTTAAAATACTTTCTTGCCTGGTGAACTTCTCAATATCGATTTCGTCTTGATTTTGAGTCCTAAAGACTCTTTAATTATAAGGTACTCTAGCATCATGTGATGAATTCCGTCTGTCGACGCCATTGTTGTTTGGCACTTTTAATTTTTAAGTGCTGACTTAGGTGGTGAGAGTTCATCTCTACCTGCGAAATAAAAAAAAACTTATTGAGTGTAATACACTCAATAAGTTTTTTTATCACTGTAGTCTGCCAATCCGCAAGATGGTCGCTTATATATACAGGCTGTTAAATATAATAGTATAACAGTAGTATTAATAAATATTTCTGGACATATTTTTACACAACCTTGTCTAGTCCCAACCTAACATATATATACTTAAGATTACTTTTATTTTGTTACCCAGACAATGGAAAATAGTTATGTTCATCATGAAATATTTTTCGCCACACAAAAGATTAATAAGCCAATCATTACATAGTAATAAAGCGCCGGTCTCCAATTCTTATATGACAATAGCTATTGGTTTTTATGTAAAAATTGGCAAGCGGACAGACAGACACACACACAGAGAAAAAAAAGTTCTGATTTTAGGTAAGTGATTACCGCCGCCAAAACACATCTACATCTGACAGGTTGCGGATGCGTTATCAACCATTAAGAAATTAGGCCCTCACTCACCAGATGAAATGCGAAAATATAATACTTCGACTATTTTTTTTATTATTCTTTTAGATGACCTTTATAACAGTGTTACCTTTAAACATTTCTATCGGCATCAATAATTCCTACTAACTTCAACTTCGTAGATAATGGATGATTTTGTTTTAGTTAGTCTTAGCGGATTTAACAAAACAATTCCCTCCTGCAAAAAATCGTCGACGAAAATCGTGCTGTCACATAGGGCTTAAGTGAAACCGTAAAACATTTATTTAAACATCGATTTGTTCTTCGGGTAATTCGAGGAATTAGCACGCCTACCTAAAACCTAAAATTGTCAGATTTCCAATGTCACTCGGGCCTCATTTTATTATTATAACATTATATGTCCGTCTACACATTGTCTACATTAAAAGCGTTTTAAAAAAACAATATTACTCTTGATCATTGTTTTTTTTAATAAAAATAAATCATTATTAATAATGATATGCCACGAGTTAATCTCATAA